TTTTGAGTGAATCATTAAATTGAAATATAGAGAAACTTTGCTACTTGCCTAAATAATTATTTGTTAAATACTGTATTTATTAAAATGTAAAAAGCTAATTTTCTTTTACTGATGATTATCTGTTTGTTTTCCACGTAGCTTAGTATGTGTGAATAAGCATTTGTATTTCCTCACTGCAGTCCAAAAGTACCTGCCACAGTATGAACAGGAAGTGTTAAGTCAAACAATAAAAACAAGGAAAACAACAGCAAAAGCAGCACCACCCGGTGTCTTTCATGTGCTTTCAGAATCAATCTGAACCCTTTGCTATAGCACATGAGCCTACTTTTAAAAAATTATTTTATTTCTACTTGATTTTTTGCTTAGAATGCTTTCCCTGCAGGGCGAAGAAGCAGAGAATCATATGTAGGCTAGTACGGATGGAGACGGTGAGTATAGTAGGAAAGGGCTTGTGAAGAGTTTTTAAATGTTGTGTGGAAACTTGGGTGCTATGTTGGAATTTTAGAGTGGAGAATAACTGGAGATCCGAACGGTGCTGGAGTCGCTTGTGAAGTGCGTAGCAACAGGATAACTGCCACCTTCCAAAGCAGATGCCCTTGAGTGTGTCAGCTGGCGTTAGAATGGGGAGCTAGAGATACATGATTGGAAAAGCAATTCAAGGAACTATGGCCTAAGGGGAAAATAACCTTGACGATCTAGAGAGGGCAGGATCAGTTACGAGGATGATGTTGTTGTCTGTTTTGTTTTCACTTGATCAGAAAGGGTCAGTTGACTGTATCCCTGCTTTCTGCAATCCATTTCCATGTTGCTGTGAAAAGATCTCTTAAGGCTTTTGTCTCAAAACCCAGAAAGGGAACTGTGTAAATCAAATATTTCCATCAGTAGATGAATGAATGAAGAAATGTGTGCATGTGCACAGTAGAGTATGAATCCATGAAGAAGAATAAATTTGAGACATTTGTGGGAAAATAGATGCACCCTGAGATCGTAGTACCAGTGAAATAAATCAGGCATAGAGGGTTAAAATTGCATGGGGAACCATGCAAGTATGAATAAGTTAAATAATAAAATAAAAGGTGGAGGGCTGGGGATTTAGCTCAGCGGCAAAAAGCGCCTGCCTGGCAAGCGCGAGGTCGTGAGTTCGGTTCCTGGTACCGGAGAAAAAAACCAAAAAAAATAAATAAATAAATAAATAAAAGGTGGGCGAAACAGGGAGGTGATATATACATGTACCGGTCCCCAAGATGAAGGTAATTAGTATGCATCACAAGCACAGATCAGAAGAGATTTTCTTTCATGTAAGTGAGGACACGTTATAACAGAACAAGAGGGAGATGTGCATGCCTGCCTATGGGTTTGGAAATTCGCTTTAAAATACGCAAGTTCTACTCTTTCTCCTTTAATGACTTCCATTTCTCAACGCGGAGACAAGTGCATCACCTGAGTGGTAACAGAGGAACAGCTTGTAAGTAGTTTGCAGAGAGAGGGGCAGATCCAAAAGAATCACAGTGATGTCAGGGACCGAAGGAAACTAACAGAATAACTAAACTGTGTTTGTGCAGCACGATTCCATTCACCAAGTCGGGGGTGGGAGTTACAGTTTGGATTTATGATTTGATAGTATTCAACCGCCCAATCTTTCTGTTTCTTTGACCACCTTAAATTGAATAATGCATTCAACATTCTTCATTATCTTCCCCAAAGACATTCTTTTCCAGTATTTTCTAACCCGAGAAAATAACATTTTCTACTCAGTTCTCGCCAAACATGTCAGAGTACTTTTTTAAACGATTTTCTATCCACTCTTCTGACTCATTCAGTGTATCATGAAACTCATTGGTTTTGTCTCATTCTCATTCATTAGATTTTCCTACCCTTATCTAAACATTGCAATGGCCCTTAAGCATCAGTATGTGTTTGTGGACCAATGCAATTAAAAGCAAAACGCAGAACCAAGAAGATCTTGCTTTCTCCAGTCTATTCCCATGCTGGTATGAAATGATGTCATTACCAGTTTGAGCTCTTTACTTCGCTACTAAAACTATACAGATATTGTAACTATATTGAATTTTAAATTGCTGAAATGTACAATGGCTTTCCTTTACCTGTAAAATGAAGTCTCAGGTACATTTGTTTCTGACAGTGGGTTTAGCTCCTGAATAACTCATCATAAGTTGAAACAGCACAAGTTAAACATGCACTGAAAATATCTAATCTGCTGAAGTTCACAGCTCAGAGTCACCTGTCTGAAACATATGCTGACACTTACTTGAGCCATGGTTGGTCACATTTGCTTCACACAAGGCCTTTGTTGCACAGGGCTCGCAGTTGGCTGACCGGGACCAGTGCCGCTGGCCCACACGATGTGCCGGGGAACAACCAACACGCACCACTAGCCTGGGAAAAGATCAAACTTCAAATTTCAAAAGACACTTTTTACTCCTTCATAGCACTGAAGATTTGCAGATTCACCACCATGAACTTGGGGACGGTCTATTCTAGGTTTTGTGAAATGGTGCCTTTGGTTTTATAAAGTTGTTTCTTCCACTTTATTCACCTGTTTTCCTGTTTAGATCGTTAGTATTCTTCACCTCACACAGCCCTTTGAAAGGATTTCTCCCTTTCAGGCACTGCTGAGCTCCTCTCAGATAATTTACTTAATCTTTCCAATTTTACCAGAGATACACTTCCACAGAGGGTATTCTTTCACGTTTTTGTTTGGGTGATTTGTGTTCACTCTCATCTCTTTCCTACTTTAATCATATTTTTAATTATTGATGTGACACTTCTGAGCAATTACTGACAATTACTCTCTTACCTGTGTAAATCATTACCAAGCAGTTTTCTGGTCTACCAGAAAAATAAAATTTGTAGCCAGACATGGTGGTGCATACCTATAATCTCAGCACTAAGGAGGCTGAGGCGGGAGGATTGCATCAAGTTCATGGTCAGCCTGCGCTACATAGTGAGTTCAAGGCTAGCCTGAACTGCATAGTGAGACCCTGTCTCAAAAAAACAAAAATAAAAAAAATTGTTAAGCTATTATCTGTATTTTTATTGCATTTGTATTATTTTTTGTTTCTAGAGCTATCATGGGAAATTTGAACAAGAGTGTTGTGTATGATGTCACATAGTTTTTAAGTTGAAATGCACTCAATGTAAAGAAAAGAATATTTCATGCATGCTGATGTATTCCTTTCATGCACAGTGTGTGGATCGACACTTCATGACTTGGGAAGAAATAGAGTTTAAAGTGAAAATGACTGTATTAACAGGATAGAAGGAGAAAAATTGGATAACTTCACTAAGTATGGTATTGGCTGCTACAGCAATCCTATTATGAGAAAATAATATTTTAAATCTTCTCCTAATCATTTTACTACAAGAATGTCCTTAATACTATCAAAAAGCTTTCTTATCTTTCAAATACCTTTGCATTTTCTCTGAATCTGTAAGAGCATTAAGGCTTTACTATCACCATAATTAGATCTACTGAAAAAAGTACCTACTTATTTTTGCCAATTCCTGATTATTCGTGGTGATGGCAGAAAGCCTTACCGTGGATTACTAAAACCTGAAATCATTTAGAGCACATGGAAATTAGCCCTGGTTCATTATGTCTATCAGAAATGTCTATTGGAACACGAGTTCGGCTTTGAGCTTTAGCATATATGCACCGGTGCTGGAATAGATACTCTTTAGTGTATGCAGTTAATTTTGAAGATAGAAAAAATATAGTTGATTAGCTTTATGTAAAATAAGCCCTGAAAACTACTTAAAACATCATTTTGGTAGCCTGTAATTAGCCCAGGACAAGCATTAAATACTGAGGTTGGGCTTCATTATCCATTGGGAGAAAAGTGAATTTCTGTGGAAGCCACAGATGAGAGGAGGCACTGCACGAAAACTCACCTGATCACTAACTTAGAAAAGTTCATGCAAATATCAGTAAATGTGTTCTCCACCTGACTCTACATAGGCCAGTAGCACTCTTCATGCCACTGCATTTATCCATGCTGCATTCGGTGACCGTTTCTGAACATACTTTGTTGTCACACAGCAGGATAATTGGTGTGAATGCAATGCTTAAGAAGATGTAATTTCCGCTTTTGACAGCCGTTAAAGTGTGTATAGTGTGTGAGTATTCCTGACCTCACAATAGATAGATACTGAGTTAGTGAGCATCTCAAAGAAATGTTTTTAAATGAGTACAATTTAAAACAAATGCCTAAAATCTGACTTTCACTGTAATCAATGTAATATGGATGATATACCAGATTATGTGCTTATTTGTTTATTCATTTCTCTTTTCATCTTTTATTTTTTTTACTGGGCATTGAATTCAGGGTCTTTGCACTGAGCTACATCCCCAGATCCTTCCTTTTTCCCCTTTTTCATTTTGAGGCACGGTCTCCCTAGCTCCCTAGATTGCCCAGGCTGGGCTTGAACCTGCAGTCCTCCGGCCAACCCCTCTAAGAATGCTGGGACTACACGCAGATACTAGCCAGCCTGGGTTCTCCCGCTCATTTACGTATTCTCCCAATCTCACAGGACTTGGGAAGCTTTCAGCATCTCATTATCAATTTCATATCAAAATTTTGAGCACCTATGATGTATGCCTTTCTGGATTCTATGGGATAGTTTACATTTCTAGTACAGTTGCAGTATTAATGAAACCAAAATTCTACCAAAGCGGCATGTCAATCTTACCTATATACTAAGTATTTGCTTTTACGTATATTATTTCTTATAAGCTCCTTATGGCATAAGAATCATTAAAATATGTACGTTCAATGGATGCTTAATTTGAACACTTTGAACAATTATTTGATTACCTGAATGGTCTGGTACTTAGGATCTCGAAGCGTATGAAAAAGTCTGAAATGATGCAAAGACGGTCATATCTCTAATCTGTGTGTACTGGTCAAACTGATGCCTGATTCACAGGACAGACGCTGCATCTGTGCCAGCCAAGCTCAGTCTCTTATTTCTCTTGACAGTGTGCAGACCGGGGTTCTTCAAAGCCTCGCCTCACAGCCAGACCTGCAGCAAATGCCCACCTCACAGTTACACCCATGAGGAAGCTTCCACCTCTTGTGTCTGTGAAAAGGATTATTTCAGGAGGGAGTCTGATCCGCCCACAATGGCATGCACAAGTAAGGAACCCCACGGATTCTAGGTGACGCTAAACTTCACCAGTTCGGAGGAAGAGCGTGACGGGGCCTGTTAGCTTCTACTGCCATTTCCCCCAACCAGGAGTAGTGTTTGATCCTCCCGATGTAGTCCTCATCCCATTTCAGTCTTCTTGTGTAAGCGTTGAAAAATTTGAATCTTTTTGCTCATTTATGACTCGAAGCATCTTTTTTCCCTCGCTGTAAATCTGAGAGACAGATTTGCAATTTTTCTTTTTATTTTGTGCTTCACTTCAGTTTTCTTGATAGCCAACTATGACTTTGGAAGATCTGCTTTCCCTTTCACATCAAACCTGTTTTTTCTTCTTTCTAAGCCAGTTGTCAATCACATAGTTATGAGTGAAGGGCACTTTCGTCTCGTTCTCACCTGGTCCACTGACCTGCAGGGTCACTGAGAAGGTCATTCAGAAAGAATAGAGAAAACACATCAGGTTCATGGAGCATGAGGGGTGGCAAACCACGTTCCAGCTGTGTATGAAATCCAATTTTTAGCCACCGCTGTATTGCAGCTGTCATGTTTCCTGTTTGTGAATATACTTAACTATCATTAATAACATAGTTAATGGCCATATAATCGGAATAGATAGATATTAAACGTAACTATCTGTAGTGGTTGAATCGATATTTGCCAATACCTTTGATGCTTTCCTTTTTTTCTAGCTTTTCATGTATTTCCAGGAGTGTAACATTTACATCTTTGTTTGCTTTTTGACAATACTTTTGGAGTTTATCCAGAAGCAAAATCTATAGCAGATAAAACAAAAACAGAAGGAGTAAAAGGTGTGAATCCACCCTTCACACCTTTACCTTCTATAACTGTCCTTGTTTGACAACAGTAGGTCCTCGTAAGGAGTATTTGCACTTAGACATGTTCACAAACACTGTGGGAAGCTTACCACGTAGATCCAACCCTAGAGACATAATAGACTCCACCTCATCAAATATTCACAAATTGAAATTTTATATGAATTTCATCGTGTCTGAATTTTATAGTTAGTGTAATGTATTTTCAGAATTCCTAGAGTCACTCATTGACCTTAACTGTACATTACTGAAAATCGTTCTGTTGACCCCAAGATTGATTGTTTTATAGGTTAGATGAATATTAGTGACAAATAATTCCTTGTCAAATGAGTAACGCCATTATTATATAAACTTTGGGGATGATACATTTGATTTCAAGCGATAGACTCTGGTTTCAGTGCAGTTTTAAACGATCGACTAGGTCAGTGAGATCATGAAGTCTTCAAGTAATAGGAAAAGTGCTGGCCCGACTAGAGACTGGTGTATTAAGGGAAGGCAACCGTGGATTGAATCATCTTCTAAATTTCATTAATTTCTAATTAGTATTTTTCTTGAAGTGGTCCAGCTCTATTTGATTTTCAGCCTGAGTGTCAGCCTCCCTTTTTGTACATTTGCTATGTTTGGCAGTAAGAGAGAGGCTGGGCTTTGGTGGCAAGGACTTAGCTTAGCACTTGCTTAGGATCAAACCCACAGGCAGGCTTTGCACTCTCCGTCTGGATGTATGTGAATTTCTAATGCTGTGTTTTGGAAGGACATTTGTTCGTAGGCATTGCCCAAAATAGGTTGTGTGTGTGTGTGTGTGTGTGTGTGTGTGTGTGTGTGTGTGTGTGTTTACTTGCACTCATAGTATCACAGATACTGCATAGGACCTCTTTATGGCTTAATTGGCATTTGGATGAAGATCATGAACTTTTGCCTTTGGCTCTTCAGAAATGAATTTATGGTTTCAACTCCTTTCAATATATTTTTTTGCAATATACAGCTATAGATATATGCATAAAACAGGAAAACCAATTTTTTTAAGTGTACTGAAAACAGTCAAGCAAACTTTGTAAAACCTAAATTTTAATGAAGCTAATTAAGTAAGAGTACTTCTCCGAGTTCTGCTTTTGTTCACACATTATACATATTATCAGGACACTGTAATTTTTTAGTTATACAGTAAATGAGAGCTTTTACTTCTTACCCTTACTTTAGAGCTTCCGTTGAGTTTGAGTTTAACTTTAGCAGTATGTGCCCCCACCTAAATGCTGAGCAGCTATTAGAAGCAGAATCAGAACAAAAGGAGAAGTCAGACTGGTGCATTTTTATAGATTTAGGTGAAAATGGTTAAGTGCAAGTATATTTCAGTTAGGAGAGAAAAAGGCAGCAGTTTGATATCTTTCTGAACTAGACAGATTTTGGCTATGTTTTTACCTTTTTCTAAGAAGTTGATCTCAAATTATAATTTCTCCATAATGTGTTAATAATTAAATAAGCTAAAGTTTTTAGTTAGAAATAATGCTTATATTTCCATTTTGAGAAATTGTTGTGACTGAAAATGACTTACACTGAAGTATGTGAGGTTAAACAGAGGGACAAATGCAAAGAATTCAATCATGAATACATTCATTGTAGGGATTGTTTTGGCAAAAGAAAAACACCAACTCTAGTTACGGAGTTCCTTCACTCAAATGTTGTCATTTTTTAAGAGCTAAATCTCTAAATACTAGAAAAACTTCTTGTTACTTTTGTACTTATTCCTCAACAATTATGGCTTAATAAATGTTAGGTAGGAAATTATTATTAGTTTTTGTTTTTAAAGCAAATAGCACATGTTTAGGGTAACTAATATATATCATCTTTAGTAGTTTTATTTATGTTTGTGGCCATTCCAATATCATAATTCCGTTTTGTTCCCTATAAAGTGAAAAATTGGGACTTTCAAATGAACATAAATGTATTTTCTATTTGAGAACATCTGATAGTATAACATAGACAGTGAACTGAGGTTTTTACCTAAATATCTCATAATCAACTGTACACATGCAATTTTAATTATTTTAATATGCTAATTATTACCTTCAGAAACACTTAAAATAATATTCAAATAGGATATTGTTACTTGAGCAATTCTTTAAGCAATCTAAGCAACCTGAACTGTAGATTTCACAACTAAAATGTAATGGAAATGTTCTATCTTATTTAAATAAGATGTTTCTGATTATAAATGTTTGTATAGTTACATTCAATTTATATTAACATGTAAATAAAAAAGTGTCTAGTAAATACTGAATGAAGTTAGGAAAGTTACACTGTTACTATTCTGAGATAGAATGATTTTATGAAAATAGTTTAGCTAAGTGCAGTTCTTTCCTTATTGTTGTGGGTTATCAGAAATTATAATTCGATCTACAGATCATTCAAACTTTGTTGGCTTTTTGCTCTTCATACTGAAGTGCCTTTGAGACTTTTGCAATGAATTTCAGATTTTCAATGAAGTAAAATTCAAACTTGCAGAACCATAATATGAAAATAGTGAATAAGAGAAGTTTTCCTGCAGATTGTGACATTGACCAATTACTTAACTCTCTTTGAAGGGAGAGTTTCAAATTCTGTTAGTGATTTATCAAGTAATTATACAGTCTATTGTGAGATAACCTAATCTGTTTATGTTTAACTTGGTACAGAATTTGTCTTCAAGAACCACACTTAAAAGTACTGTTTTTATCTGTGCTTCTGATTTAGCGTACTTTCTGTTCATTTCTTTGTATTAGAGAGGAAATAATCAGTTCAATCCCCAAGAAAAGTCATTTACACTTTTAAACTCTTATTTAACATTATTTGTACATACATAGTTTCCTTCCATAATTACTTGTATATGTACTAAGTGAAACATCTTTTACTAATGTAATTACAGTCCCAAATAAATCATGCCATGGGACATAAGCACCACTATTGTCCCTCGAAACACTAGCAAGCTTTCTCAAAGATAAATCTAAGTTACAACTTTAAAAATTAATTGAAAAAATATTTTTTCCCTTCAGACAAGGAAGTAGTGTGGTAGATGATGCCTAATTAATATCATCTTAAAATATGTTTTTCTCACTTTACTTTGCAAACCAGGACCCCCCTCAGCTCCTCGGAATGCCATCTCAAATGTTAATGAAACTAGTGTCTTTCTGGAGTGGATTCCGCCTGCTGACACTGGTGGAAGGAAAGATGTGTCCTATTATATTGCATGCAAGAAGTGCAACTCCCATGCAGGTGTGTGTGAGGAGTGTGGCGGTCATGTCAGGTACCTCCCCCAGCAAATCGGCCTGCAAAACACCTCTGTCATGGTGGTGGACCTGCTCGCTCACACAAACTATACCTTTGAGATTGAGGCAGTGAATGGAGTGTCCGACTTGAGCCCAGGAGCCCGGCAGTTTGTTTCTGTAAATGTAACCACAAACCAAGCAGGTAAGTGCCATGCCCAACCAAATTCTAATATTTTGGGCCTACCTCTGTTAGTTATCTCCAGAGCCCAGTAGTGTTGACTGAGTTCTGTGAAAGGACATCTTCTTCAACCAAAATATCAGAATTTAACGTATAACACATCTCAAAATGCTTTTTTTTGTATCTTTAAATAAACAAATAGAAAAATGAAGACTTAGTTGACATATCCACAGACCAGGAAAAATACGTTTTAACTGAGTTTTTTCAATAAAAGTGAATTTCTGGCTTAAAATTATGTGATTTCACACAATTCCTCTTTATAGTTCAGATCTACACTTTTTGTTTTTTTCTTTCACCCTTCAAAATTTAAAACTTTATTGGTTTGGCACGTGATTAGGCAGTTTTATTTCCTCACTGGTTTGCTTGCATGGTTCCACAGCTGAATTTTAGTTTGCAAATTGTAACAGTTTTTCTTATTATGGTAACAAAAATTCATGAAGTGAAATTTTCTGGGCTAAACCCATTTATCAACATTAGAAAAGCGATGAACTCTTGTACTGCTACGTGGACACACATCTATGTTGTAGGTGGAGATCTTGGAATTATTATGGGGTACTTGTTACACAGTAAGGAAGAAATCCTGTCCAAGCCACTAGTTCCCCTCTATTTGCCCTCAGATTTTGATTATAAAACAATCAATAAGGAAGACTTCATTTCTAGTAAAATAAAAGTCCAAAAAAATCAATAATTGACTTAATAATTCATCTCACTGGAGGAAAGAGTCTCCAAACTCAAGAGCAATTTGTAACTTCTTTTGTCCAACAGCAGATATCTAGGAGCGGAAAATGAAGGAAGGCGTTAAAACCAAAACGATATTTTAAAGAAAGTTAAAAAAAAATAACAAAATAATAACACCATAGACAAAAAACAACACAAAAACAGTAAAAATGATGCAGGGTTTCAAAACAAAATGATAGGGATTAACAGTGGTTGTTATGTTACATATTGTTGTCTTCAACAAAGTTGCTCAGATTACCAGATGTAAGAATGCAGGATTGACCAAACCATTAATTCTCTTTAAAATAAAAAGAGTTATAACTTTATTCTGGCTTATGCGTTGCTCAAAACTTTCAGCTCAGGTTTATAGTAAGCTCATCAGCTCCTTAGTACCTCTGGGCTTTGGTCAGTGAGTGTATCCTTGTCCCCTGTCCCGACACAGTGTGTTCAGACCCAACTGGACTTAGTTCATGTACTAATAGAATAAGTTAGTAGATTGTGGAATGCTGGGATTGATGAGTAGTCTTGATTATTAAGCCTCAGCCAAAATAATTACTTTGGGTTGTTGTGTACGTCAGGTAATGTAAGAGTTTATTTCTTCAAAATAAGAAAATACAGTTCAGTTCCTAGTTAAGTTTCTGATTCAGTTCCTAGATTGAGAAACCCAAGGAGAACATCCACAGATACCTAGTACAATGCAGTGAAATCCACTGTATGTTCTCATCCATATTGGATGTATGTCCTTGCATTTTTTTCCACAAATAATACACATACACGCAAGCCGTCTCCTCAGTGCATTCTTTGTATATTTCTTCACTTGCTTTTTAATCTGAAGTGGAACTAAAACAAGTACTAAAGAGCTGGACAGGAAGATGCAAAATTAGCTTTTCCTTCGGTATAAGGAAAAAGCAATCAGCTGCAATCACTCTTATCAAATGTGAGCAGTCTCAGGCGATATCAAAGTGTTCAGTAAATGTGAACGGTACTGTACAAAAATATACAAACTAGTGATTTCAGGCTTCTAGGCAACATATTTCAACCTTCTTTGACTCTACCGTGAGTTTTCTTTTATCATATTAAAATCATATTGACTAAACACTTTCTCCTTTGGGAGAACATTCTGAAGCTTGCATAACCTTAACTTCTTTGGAATATATTCCTTTGATGATCTAAATATAGGAAATGGCTTTATTGTTTTAGCAGTGTGCTCAATAAATAAAAATAGACTATTTCTCTTTGGCTCACTGCCTGTTTGGACTCCAAAGTGTGTTACTTGGATCTTGAGTGTTTTAAATACAACTCTCCTGTTAAACAAATATTTATAAACAAAATGATAGGTTCTAATCAAAACAGACATTTGGTTATAAAATCCTTGCAAACCTAACCCCCAAAATTACAGTATGATTTCTCTCATTCCAGATCAAGTCAATTTCAGTTCGCATAAAATGTATTACTTCAAATAACTTACTTAATATATCTTAGATTTAATGCCACCACGGCTAAATGTGTACATTCTAATATCAGTGGAAGTGGATTGAAGTAGTTGGTTTTTAATCTCTACACATTTTTCAACATTGAATAAAGTTTCCTACATTATATGTGTTATTATATAAAATTTCATGTATGTACATTTTACCTTCGATTTTAAGCTGCTATAAGATTCATTTTTTATATGTATTTCTTCCTTGAGTATTTTATTTCAGATTTGTAATTGACTTCAACTGTTGTTCCAACATGTGCTGGTTGATATGATTACTTTTTGTGTGTGACAGCAAAACAAAAATGAACTGTCCAGATTAAAAAAGGACAAGAAGAAAAAAACAGTTTGTGTAAGACAAAAATTTTGCAAGAAGTGCCAGAGTAAAATTGGTTACCTAACCCTGCCTGATAATCTATAAAAATGTACAAATTAAATGATTAATGTATAGATATTTATAGAGTACTTAAAACATTTTCTTAATAATTATATCATCATGGACCCTAGCATGTTGCTTTTAAAGAACTTGTCTAACTTTAAATGATACTTCTTATGTAATTTATTAGTAGAATAAAATGATAAAGTTGCATGGAATATATTAGATTTATTTATCATGTAGGATTCTTATTCTATGTAGCCACAGTACTGAGATTGACATGAAGGAATTCGAAAATTTTTGTGGGAATTTTCCTGGTAAGGAAAAGTTTAACTTATATGAAGAGGAAAAACAAAGAAAAAGCAGATGTAACATAAAGATAAAGTAATGCTACCCTTAGGGAAAGAAATTATATGAAAATTAAATGTGAATTCATGAATAGTATAATGAGTTCTTAACAAATAAACAGATTGTAAAAGGGATAAAATAGTGAATGTGCACACTATGTGTTCTTAAACTTAGACAAAGACTATAATATATTGAGTTCTGCATGTTCTCTAGTGAGTATATATGACTTAAATAATACATTACTTTTAAAAATTTGACGTATAATATTCTTTGCCAAAAACTGTTTAGAGTCACTTAATTACAACACTTATGCTGCTCTTCTGTTTTATTTTTTTGGGAAATCTAAAATATTTGACTTCATTTAGTAAGTAGATAGGTGAGTACATAGGTAGATAGATGGGGAGAGCTTTTTACACATAGTGTAAAAAGTAGAAATTCTATTGAAAGCAATCACTTTGAAAGTTTCATTTTCTGCCCACAAAATAGTATGAATTCATCATTTTTTTTACAGTTATATTTTCTTTAAAAATAATTTTCCACTGGGTATTTTTAAGCTATATTTTAAAACTCCTTTAATATCTAAACATATTTATCTTGTACCAAAGAAAGTTAAGTTCATTTTTAATCACAAACCCAAAATTAGAAATAACTCACATGTAAAAGTACATGAGTTTGGTTATGGGCCGAAGTAGACCAAACTGTCATTGTTCGGAGTTTAGTCTTAGGCTTTATGCTCTTCCCTAGGGCCCGTGTGGGCGTGAGGGGGGCCATGTAGAGCTGTCTCACTTTTCGCTTCTGAGGGCTGATCTTACCCCGCAGACCGTCAGAAGTGCCGTGGAGGTTGGTGCTCTCTGTATCTGGGTGAGCGTGATTTCTAGGCTCCTGTGTACGTGTGTGGGGCGTAGTGCAGTTCATTTCGCCAGGTCTTTTCAGTTGTGCCCTGCTCTGTAAGGGCCCAGAACATTTCACAGGATGGCCCGACGACAAGATTTCCGGAAGGCTAAGTTAGCCCGCATAATGCAATTTCAGAGAACACTGAAACAAGAAAGCTATCATGCCTATATCTTGTACTCTGGATAACTAATACAAAGACAGTAATACACAATGTATTAATTATTAGAACTCTCTGACTAACCTGTTTTGAAACACTTTTATTATTATTTGTATTTTTTCTCTTTAAAATAAAAAATAAGTAAAAATAATACAACAAGAAAAAAGGATACTTAGCTTATAAATCCTACTAAAGGATAAAAATTTTTTGTTGTTTTTTTTTCCGTTACCGGGAATCGAACTCACGACCTTGTGCTTGCCAGGTAGGCACTGTGCCGCTGAGCTAAATCCCCAGCCCCTAAAGGATAAAAATTTAAAGGAAATATCAGTTGTGAATCTCATCAAGTTGAGAAATGTCTATATTCAGTGCAAAATCTGGCATTTATATAATTGACACAATCACTTTTTAATGTAGTATAAGGAAGAGAATGATAACACTGGATTCATGGACTTACTGTGCAGGTTAAATGGGGGTGATTTATAAAAGTTTAGAGCAGTCCCTGCAATGTCCTAAATGTTCTGTGAATCCATTTATTAGTAGTAGCACTAGCTAGCAGTTGTAGCTCATTTTAAGCCTCTTTCATTCACAAAATAAAGTACAGTAATTCTACACACACACAAAAGTGAAAGCACAGTTTTTCCTCTAAAGGGCAAACGTTTTGTTGCAGTCTCTTATTGAGAAGTTTCAAAAATCATTACCATTGGTTAGATCGTTATGATTCTGAGGGACAGGGGCTGTGTTGATTCTTCGGGCGGAAACCCTTTGGCCATTTTTGCCTTCACTGACTGGTTAAACCTGTGTTTCCCCATTTTAATCTTTTCATCGCGGAGTAAATGATTTACTTAGAGACTCTAAATTTGAAAAAACATAATGAAAGGGTGAGATGAAGATAACAGTTTGTCATCTGTAAGATGAACGCAAGCCAAAATTCCACTCTTTACAAGACCCTTGGCGTCTCTACTTAGGCCAGGGCTTCTTCACAATATTCTAAACCC